GAAAAACAAATATTAAATGATGATTTTATTACCTTTAATCTCATAATCCTTTGGTTTTATTTTGACTCATTGTATGTTGATAAAAATTTGAGATTAATTTTGTTAAAGCATATTGTACATATGTTTCTAAACTTATTCAAGATTTGTACTTATATAACTCATTTAACAATGTAATGCAAATTTCTAGGCCTTGAAAGTTATTACCAACTATAGGATAATAAGGAAATGCAGATTAATAATTAGTCACCTATTATAATTAAATCTGTAGTCATAGTAGGTTGTTTTCAAGGCCAAGCAGAAGTATATTTTAGAAAGACATGTCATCTTCAAACACATCAGAGATCTACAGAATATTGCATTCAGGATTTTAAAATAACATAGGTTCTTTTTATGACAATGAGACACGTCTGCTCTTAGCAGCACCAATCTACTTCAGAGAAGATGATGGGCATCAAAGAAACTCCACATGGAATTTATTTACTCTGTGGCAAAAATAAACCACTGGGCAAGTAAATGTCCTTACCTAGACTGCTGACAGTATGCTGACCAAATTAGATAAGCAGGACACAAAAGAAAGGACTTCCAAACTTTGCAAAGACAAGTTAGGAAAGTCCTTCAAAAATCCTGCTTCACAGAAAAGTATCATTCTAGGCCTTTAAGCTTAATGGTGTTATCATAATCCTGGGGGAATTGTTGGCAGGCACCATTCTCCTTTTGAAGATATCAAAAGTCACTGTTAGGCATGGTCATGGTTCTCTGCAGAAAACTGATAGAGACTCAAGCCTGAAATCATGTACAGGAAAGTAGATGAAACCTTTTCTAGAATTAATAGTACTTTATATGACCATTAATATCATGACAAAAATCTTAAAATATACTAGTAATATATTAGCCTTATAATTTTTAAGTAATATATCTCAAGAAATACTTCAATGAGTCGAAATAAAGTCAAACACGGATACCCCAACATTGCACAAGAACTTTGGGTAACCATCCAAGTAGCCAGATGTTTTTGTCATTTCTCACAGTTTTTGGAAGTCACTTACTTACACTTCCTGGTTACTCAGGTAATAATATTTCCTTCTTGTGTCTCTGAGGGAGTTGAAGACTAGATATAGTTTTCCTTGTTTACCAAATGCAGAAAAGAAACTCATTAAAGACGTATAAAATATATAAGGTTGAGAAACACCAAAAGATAGTTTTGGATGATAATGTAAGTTATACTAGAAAGTGAATTGGGTACAACATTTTGGACTCTCCAAGACAGGATAGATATGGAGTATTTTCTATGAATTTCTAAAATGCAGATGGACTAGACTTGGTTGGTGGAAGCATTGCCTGTATATACTGTATATAGTTATTGTAATTACTGTGCATGGTTTTTCTTATATTAGTTATAGCCTTCCTTTTTGTATTAGACAAAAAAGGGGAATTGTTGTGATATATAATGCTTGTCTGCATATCAGAATGTAAATCTAGCCATAGCCATAGAGGCCAGGAAGTGGTGGCACACACCTTTAACCCCAGGACTCAGGAGACAGAGGCAGATGGATCTCTGTGAGTTCAAGGCTACCCAAGGCTACATGAGAGTGAATCAGTCTAAAAGAGAAACAGCTCATGCCTTTACTCCCAGCACTAAAGAAGTATATAAGACAAGAGCAGGGTTTCAGACCTGGCATTCAGTCTTAGGCAATTAGTCTCTAGCCACATTGAGGACAGGATTTCCCCAGCCTTGGTAAAGATAAGAGCTCTACCGTAGCTTAACTGCTTTGCTTCTCTGATCTTCAGCTTGAACCCCAATATCTGTCTCCGGCTTTTTATTATTTGTGCTACACATATGTAATACACAGACATATAGGCAAAACACCTGTACATATAAAATTTAAAAATACTATAAAAGCATATTGGTTAAAATGCATATATAGTCCTACACCTTGCATGCCTGGAAGAATAATTTATTAATGGCCACTGAATTCTTCCAGTTACAATCACAGGAGTTTCTCATTGTATAAGTGTTGGGGGAAGTCCTGTGCATTTGTCAATAAAGTACTGTTGAGCCTATAGGAAACCTAGATAGGAGGGACTAGGAGTCCAGGAGAACTCTGGGTAGGAGAAACACAAGAGAGTTCGAGATGTAACCGCCATTGGGGTAGGAAGCCTGGAACCTCCCCGGTAAGAAACATACTTAGATTAACAATTATGGGGTAATTACTTAAAGCAGAGCTAGCCAGTAAGAGACAAACAAGGCCAACAGCTTCATAATTAATATAGCCTCCTGTGTGTTTATTTGGGACTCATGCGGATCTAGAACCAGGCTGGCGCGGCAGAGCCCAGGTGACTGGCGGGGGATAAACCAAAGCGGCTAGCAAAGGAAAAAGCTTCTCTTAACATATAAGTCCATCCCATAGTCCAATAAAGCCACACAATCTATAGGCTGGATTCCACCTTCCTAACTGGTGAAATGAGTTGCTACTGTGGTAGACATCTGTTCTACATTATTCTTGGGCCCACTTCAGAATGTGAAGGGACAGGGACAGACCCACCCCCACCCCAGTGGTTTCCCTCCAGGACACCAGCAGTGTGGTCCTCTAGCTACTCTGCCTGCCGGGCTACAGCAGCAGCTCTGCATCACTTTTATGACAGACACAGTTGTGTTTGCAGCAGTGAGGCTGGAGTCGTTTCCAGAAAGACACAGGCTCTGGGTGCTTTCAGGGTAGTGACTGAGAGCACAAGGTCTCCAGTCAGGGTATCTGGACCTAGATATTGGTCCTGGGAGAGCCACACAGTGATGGTTGAGAGAAGAGAGGATGGGACCTCAGCCTCCCAGAGATTCTCACTTCTGGTCCAAATCCTTATATCTTACATTGTGTGATACATTTGCCCCATTTCAATGTTGGAGTTCCTGTGATAGCATACTTAGGAACAAGCTGACACATGCTCTGAAGACATTTTCAAACACCCAGAACTTTTCGCGAGCCAGTTGTTAAATTAAGGCACTTCAAAATTGGCCACAATGGGATTATTTTTACACCGTTGGAAATCAGCAAAGGCCATAACTTGAGATTGGATTTTCTTTTTTCCACAGGGCTAGCTTCCCACTGCTCCGTCATCTCACTGATTTCAGGAATAGTTTGCTTCCCTCCCACGTGCTTTCCAAAAGTCTCACCAGAACCCTGGCCAGCTACCCCTGTAATGTTTTTTTGCAACACGCCTGTGGTTCTGCTATCTTTCTGAGGGATGCTGGGTTTTCTGTCCAGGCCTTCTGTGAATTCCTTCTGCTTGGAGTGCCAGATGAAAAAAATCAAGCCCCCACCTGCTAGAGCAGGATCACTGAGAGACCTCAAGGACATACTCCAAGGCAGCAGTAACAGAGGGCTCCCAGCTTCATGTATTTCCATGCCCCACATCAAATGGTTCCCAAAAATGCCATGTAATCAGAAATCACGGAAAGAGAGCACTGTCCTCATTTCTCAACCATCTGCAGGAAGCAGGCGACTCGACCATCTTGTCGTGGTGACTGAGGACCTTCTGCCAGGCAGCCCCAGCCCTTCTGCCGAGCAGCCCTCACTTGGAGCTTGTCCATTCCTGCTTTCTGGTGAGCATTCCCTGACTTCGGTCCAGATGGTGGGAGACAGGCAGGTGGAACAGGCCACCAGCTTCCGCCGGATGGTGAAAATGAATGATGGTAATAAATATGTCTTTGGTCACTTGAACAGCCTATACCTCACACCCAGCATTCAGCCAAGACACCCTCCTGAGTTCCTAAGGCCCCCTGTAACAGGTTCAGAAGTGTCCCATTCCCTAGCACACTGTTATTCAGGTCAGATAAACAGCAGAATACTAATAGAATTTCTTTTCCTGAAGAACCAGAACAGGCTAGACCTGTTGAAAATTCTTGCAAACTGTTCATCTGTGAGTCATATTTGTATCACCATGAGTGACTGGGTTCGGGGTTAATTGCAAAGTTTGGCCAGCTGCCTCTGCAATTGGCTCAATTAGTTATGGAGGCTGCTAAAACAATGATCTGAGGTCACTGGCAGATTCAGACCAAGGGGCAGCAAAATTGAAAGAGAAGAAACCAGCCAAATTAAACCAAAGAAAAGGCCAGTTTGCAGCTATGCGGGAATTGTGCCCAGCATGAAGCCGGGGAGAGCAATTAGTTAGAAATATATCGAGTTGTTGATAATTGAACATCTTAATTTTTAAATGCCAATTTTATATAGTTTGGCTTGATAAGATGACCCTATTGATTTTTCAAGAAAGCACTGCTTTCACATCTCAGGGTTGCCTGGGCTGCAGACAGGAAACAGCCCAGTAGGAAGAAAAAAAGCATCATGTCTCATGTCTCTTCCCTGATTCTGACGTGCTCTTCTCAAGTGCGTCTCAGGGAAGATGCTCTGGTTAAGGCTCAGGAGAATTATCAAGACATCACCCCTGTAAGTCTCATTCTTTCCAACTGAAGCGGTATCACCAACTTGCTCATGGCTCCCAAACGAACTGATGGATGGCAATGTGGTGTTATAAGGTGGCACGTTATGCATAGATAATTTATAAAGGCTGCACATATAATGGTTATCAGCTCCTATTGGTATGTGAGCGTATATGCTCCCAGGGGAGAGAGTAAACTTTGAGTGCAATTGTAACTGATTGCCCCTGTGTTCCAGTGTTGTTTCTAGTGGCAAACAATGCCAACGCAGTAACAAATTGCCATAGAGTTTTTCATTAGTCACCAGAGTGTAAAAGATTTGATAAATAACAAGAAAGCATTGGTTCTTTAGGGTGGGAAATCCATGATATTGGCATCAACAAATGACATTTCTTTGAAAAAGATGGTGTCACGGTTCTTAGAGATTATTTGCCTTGCTGCTGGGACATAAGAACACCCCCTAGGAGCCTGTAAAGACTGTGTCCCCAGCCAGCCCTACCCCCACATTGTTACATCATATCTGTGACATGGCTGAGTAGCTGCCTAGTGTGGGCCCTGTCTATTCAACAGGAGGCAGAGAAAGAGAGGAACCCAGCGTTCACTGAACTTGCGGAGTTGCAAAGACAATGGCAGTGGCGACACTGCTTAGAAAGGTATGCACGGAGGTCTGGGGTTGGTACGGCACCCTCTGTCCTTGACCAGTGTTCGATTCTACAGCCGCTGCCCCCTGCTCTTCGGCTCTGGCACCGGGCCGGCACATGCCTCCCTCCAGAGCCGCTGCCAGCTCCACTCCAACAGCAGCTGTCGCCACAGCCCTGGGAGAGCAGCATGACCGCTGGCACCAGCGTGAGCGGGGCACATCTGCAGAGCGTCCCCTGCCCTTGGCTTCGTGCCTGTGGCTCGGTGCCCTGCTATGCAGAAGGTTCCCAGATGGTGCCACTTAGCAGGACCCTCTTCACCACGGAGGCTGCAGCGCGTTAGCTTTTTCACCCCTGAGATGTTCCGTTCGGCTGTGAGCAACATGGTGTTTTCCAGACACATGCTCATCTTTAACATTTCCGTACACAGGGGGTGAAAAAATTCCACTGGTGACCTTTGCAGAGTCTAAATGGGTTAGCCCTCGGGTGTTAAGAGGAAATGGTATTTTAAAGACCAAAACACCAAACACATGAGGACATTATGCTAAGTGAAATGAGCCGGTCCCAGAACAACAAATATGGTTATGATCCACTTACACGAGGTATCTAGATAAGTCAAACACACAGAAACAAAACGGAAAGTGGAGGCTGCTGCAGCTGAGGAGGAGGGACACTGGGGAGTTAGGGACAAATGAAAACAGATCCCTGGTTCTGCAAGTTGAAGCCACATTGGAGGTAGGCAGTAAGTTCTATGTTACTAACATAAATGGCACAACTAAAGGTTTAAAGACATTTTAAAGGTCAACAAGATGCCTTTGTGTGTAAAGATGCTTGCTACAAAGTCTGATGACCAGTGTTTAATCCCTTGGACTCACGTGATGGAAGGAGAGGACTCACTCCCTAAAGCTGTCATCCTCTGACCTCAAGTGCCCCATGAAGGACCTACACATAAATAAATAAACCATCTGTAACTCCAGCTCTCAGGAATCACAGGATCACTCACGACCTCCCTGGAAACTTGCACACAAACGCACAAAAAGCTGCTATCTAATATTATCTAATGACATTTGGGTGAAAGTATATAGATCTGTGTCTCACAGCTCCTTCTCCTCATCTACAAAGCTTTGTAAAAATGAGACCAGAAATGGAAGTTCAATTCATAGCACCTGTCCAAAATGTAAGAGGATGAGCCTCACAGACAGATTAAAGGCTAGGTTGTTTTTTTTTTTCAACTAACTGCCTCTCTCAGGATTAAAACCATAGCTCTTAATGCTCTTCTATGTCTACTTTAGCCAAAACAGTAACCAGAATCATAAGACTCCTTGGGTTAGTGTTGAAAGGCTTTGGCTTGCTCTTACCAGAGCCTTGGAAATAGCCCTCCATCCAGGGCCGATTCCATGTACCCAAACAAATGCCACCTCCTATACTATTTTTTCAACGATCCCTGAAGAAAGTCTAGATGAAAGCTAGCCCTAGGCCCAGTTTCAAGGAGACACCCTTCATATTCTGAGCTTCCCCTTAAGTCACTCCAAAACTGAAGCCCTGTAGAAACTAGAAGAAAAACTTCCAATTTAGAGCCACACACCAGGAAATAGACCAAAAAATGGCCTGGTCTAAAGTCCAACACATATCAGATTCACTCTGGCTTCTGCAGTGACTCTCAAAACTCCTGTCTTCCAAGTGCACCACCTTGCAGGTCTCTAGAAAGCTCTGTTCACAGGCCACTCCTGCTGAGAAGTTAAGGAGCTGTCTGGCCTGACCATCCAGGACTTAGTATCTCGGAGGTTTTGCTGGGCGGCACTTCTGGGTCCTGTGAATGCTGCTCTCCAGGCTCCTTGCTGTTGACCAGCTTCTGTCCTGTGGCTACCTTTGCACCCTGGTTTCTACCCTAGCCTGCCTAGGGTCCCTGTCTTTTTTCTTGGATGTCAGTTTAGAGCTTTTCCAGACTCTATTTCCTCCAAGTCTCTCAGAAGTTCTGGGTGTGCCCTGTCTTGGTCCCTAATTTGAGGGACAAACTTTGAGAAGACCACTGCACATAGACTGTTGTTGCAAGCAGACAGAGAAAATGAAGGAAAGGCAAGGGACATATACAAACAAAGAGAGAAACTTAGCTAATGTTTCCTCAAAGTTCATAGCTAAAGTACTAGCTTTCATGCAGTATGTGTACAAGGGCAATAATCAGAGTCCCGGAGAATGAGCCCCAATAGCTGGCCATGCCCACTCCTGCCCCTCCCACGGTAGACAACCATCCTCTGTGTTGTCAAAGAATTCTGGGATACCCCTCGTTCTATCACTTTTTCAGGAACTCTGAGCTTTTAGAGGCTTACAAGGTCCTCCTGCTGTGCCCCAGCTCCTAACACAGGCAATGGTATGGCGGAATCTGTTAAACACTTGATGAATGAGTGAAAGAGTTCAAGGACCCATAGGATCAGCATTGTGGGTAAGCCACACTGCTTCAGTCAATAGTTTTCCCAAGAAGAACTATGGGCTTGGAATGCAAATGCCCACTTCCTATATTGGGGTCAGGCTATGATTCTCATTTTCCTAGACAATAAGTTACAGGGCATTAGAGGTTCTTTGTGGCTGCTAACCTGCTGTACTTGCACTAAGTACTTATCCCCTCTGCCTTTTCTCTCCAGTCTCATCCACCCTGCTCCCATGAGAGCAATCAGGGACAGCATCCATGACATTAAACAGTGTTTATAAAGTGAAATTACTCTCTTAGTCAGGAAACACAGTCCCAAGGGCTACTTCAGCAGGGTGTAATTAATGAACTGGTTTTGGGTCTTTTGGTGTGCTTTTTTTAACCCACCAGTGGCCAGAATCAGTCACTCAGACCTACAACTCAGACTCAACATGGTGCCAGATAAAGAAGTATGCTTCTCAATGCCCTCAACATCACAAAATAAAGGTTGGGAGAACTAAACTTATGCAGTCAAGGTTCCCTTGATTCTCCTTCTCCTTTCAGCCTTACAATTTCTTTTGAGAAATTCTGGGTGTCCCAGGTTACCATGTTTGAGGTGGCATTTGTTGTCATCCACTTTAGCAATGACTTAAATATGTCTAAAGTTTGCAAAAACCCGATGTAGTGGCAAGGTGGCATGGGACACCATGACTTAGATGCTACTATAGGAATAAAAACTTTCTTCCTGCCAAAGATTCACTAGAAACTAAGAGGAGAGTGAGGAGAGCCAGGAAAAGTGCTTTTGACCATTTCCGTAGTACCATTTCAGGGTCATCAAACTGTAGAAAGCATGAAAAACTCAAAATGTCCCATTATATCCCATGCAATCAGTACCTGGATTAACCCGTTGATGATCTGGTCTTTTCAACAATCTTGAGATTATTCTGTGATGCTATGAAAATGTTAGTCATCATCACAGTGCATGTGACCCTATCATCTAAGTTCAAATGTTCCCAGCACAGCACATTCTCCTTAAGTTGGATAACTAGCTAGAAAACTGCTTTGACACAGAAAAACTCCCACAATGCTGGCAATGGGGAAGACCCAATTGTGAGTCAAGAAGGATGACCTCATACAATGTGGGGGTGGACCTTGCTTGTCTGCCAGGAATGCACTCAGCTGACTGGCCAACAGCTTTCTCACAAGCGCTTTGCCAGAAGCTGGCCCCAAAGCTGGTTGCTTCTCTTTAGAACTCTTGGTGTGACCTGACACCATTTCCCTCACTTCATCCCCCTATTGTATAAATCATGGCTGAACGCAACTTTCTCACTTCTCATGTGACTGCTCAGAAAACTCTGCTTCTGGGGGCCCAGGCTGAGTGTACTGACTCCTGGAAAGCTGTCAGCTTTGACTCTCCATGGTTCTCCAAACTGGGCTATACCCAAGGATCTATCCCCTGATAAGGAGTGCATTTCCATCATTGATTCCAACCAAACAAGGCACGTGGTTATCAAGAAAGAAAACAGAAACACAATAGCCAGCTGCCCCTTAAGCATGGAATGCTGAGTGCCTGTGCTGACCTGAAGTATCTATGAAGTATCTTCAGAATCTATGAAGCCAAGAGATGAGAGCCCTAACTAGAGCCACCTCCTGGCCTTGCCCAAGATCCCCAGAAGAACTCTTATGCAGAAGGTTAGATGCTATTTGTCACTGTGATACTGGAGAACCCAGTATCCTGATGTAACTTCTGACAGCTAAAAGTACCTCCCTTCTGGCTCCCAACAGCATAGTGCAGCATAGACGCCTCCTAAAAGCCCCAAGCTCAGCTCCCTTTCTTGTGTCTGTACTTGTCACCAGTGCATCAGCTCTTGGATCTGAGCCCTTTCCCTCTTGCTCTTCTCATGTTCCCAGGCCATGTGGCTTTCCAGTTCCTTTGTGCCAGCCAAAGAACACTAGAGATGGAGAGGGGGGGTCTCAATAATCCTGGATAGTTGCTTTACCTCCCACAACTGGGCTCCTCTATACGAGCCCAGCTCCCTCACAACCGTCTGGCCTGATTCCTGTTCTTCCAATTACCCAGATTTTGAGCTTTGGCTAATCTCACCTCTGATACTTCAGCTGGTAGAGTCTTCCTGCTTTGTTCAACTCTGACATGGCTCACCATCTCCAGCGTGATTTCTCAGATTATGTAGCCAAGTCTCTAAATTTTCCCTGTTGTAAAATCTTGAAAGACTTGTGTTTCCTGACTGAGCTATGAGGGATGAAGTCTCCCTAGTCTGTGAATCCCACAGGCATCCCCAATTCATGAGAACATTTTATACCTGAGTCCTCTTCACACATATTAAATTCCTTTTTCACCACAATAGACCACCCTCCACAGATCATGAGGTCCCTCCCAAACTCCTCCTTGCCTTCTCTGACAAGGGAAGCCACAAATGTTCCGTGGAGAACAGACACCACTCTGGCATTAGTTCATCAACCCCAGAAATGTAGTGAGCATCTGAGTCAGAGCCAGGTTTCAATAAGCCAAAACTCACATGGGCTCACCCTTTGCAAGAGCTTGCTAGGGTGTCTATCATGGGTACTAGAAAATCTGTCTAGGAAGGGGTCAAGATAAACAGCAAACCCAAGCCAGTTGGAACTGTTTCCTCAGAGAGTTGACACCTCTAGCTCTTGGAGTCTTGGATTTTGTTGAGCAAATTCTCTCACATCCAAGACTTTTGTCCATCTGATTCTATGGATATCAGTTAAACAAAGGCTAGGTGGTGATGCATCCTGGTTAAAGTCATGGGGATCCCAGACTTTGTAGGGCAAGGGTGCCTTTCTTCCTCATCAGATTCTGGAACATTCTCTGAGAAGTCTGTAATGTCTTCATGTCCATATTGCCTTGGTCAACCTCAGTGCTGTTTAGAACTACATCCAATGTCCATTCTTTAGCTTTCTGCAAAGTTTGGGATGCACATTGTTACTCCCTGTGCTTCACATCTAGAAATATCCCACCAAAGAAGGAAAAAGATTCCTTACACACAGCTCTAAGCAAGATAAGCAAATGAACAAACTTGGTAAGTGGCAACCCAGGACACAAACCTCACTTCTAGCATACAGAGTCTCCATATATCCACCCAGCTGTCTTCAACGAGGTAGATTGATTACTTCCCCAGCTACTGGGGACTAGGAAACTGGGGCCTTGTTTCCTGATTCTGGGCTTAACAGAGACAGAAAGCAGGCCAAAAATACATCAGCATGGGTAACAAGAGAGACTCGGAAATTCACAGCCTTCAAGGGCTTTGTTCTGTTTTGTTTTTAGAAGAATCTATTCCAGACACAATGAGTGCTCGAAAGGCCCAGACTCAGGATGGGTTTGTTCATTCCTGGCTTTAGAGAGAAGTGTGGCAGAGCTACCACGGACATTTTGGTAACTAAACTTTTACTCTGTATTCTTTTTCTCTGTATCTTAGAATTTTCTCAGAGTAGAGACCTTAAACAACATAGGAGTAAAGACAGTCTTTGGGCAAGGAGTTTTGTACCCAGAAAACTTTACACCCTGTCAAATCCATATTAGTATGCTGGAACCACCTCAACAAAGTGCTATAAACAGGATGACTTCAGCACAGAAATATATGCCCTTAAAATTCCAAGCACTCAAAGTCCAGGACAGAGGTATCAGAAGGCAGTGAAGTCCAGGTCCCTTGATTCTTCCTGCGGCCTTTTGACATCTGTGACTGTCTTTGCACATAGCTATACAGGCCCACTCTCTGGTTTCGACTTTATATTGTGTTCTCTCTGTGTTTCTGGGTCCATATTTCTCCATCTACAGGGACACCATCACTCTGTTAAAGCCCACCCTGCTCCAGTGTGACCTCATCCTAACTAATTCCATTTTGAACAATCCTATTTCTAAATAAGATCATATCTGAAGTAATAAGCTAGGACTTTAATACATAAACCTGGGGAACACAAGTAATAAAGAGTTTGACCTTCTCAAATGTATGTCCTCCTCACAGGCAAGATGTCATCATCCACCCCAGCCTCACACGAACTCTTAAGTCAATCCAACAGCAGTTCTAAGTCCAGACTCTCACCCAAATTCTTAAGTGAGGTGTGGGTAAGACTTAGTATATGGTTCACCTATTCTTGGATGAAAGCCTTCTTCCCTGTGAACCTACTAAAACAGAAGACTTATCGGCTTCTGGAGTGGGAATGCCTGTCCTACTGTGGCATAGATGAGAAGGGAGGGAGATCAGAAGGAAGAAGAGGCTCTGGGTCCCAATCAAGTCTAACACCTAGCAGGGGAAACTGTTTTTATTTGTTGTTTGCTTGGCTGGTGTTGAGTTTTCGAGATAAGACTATGCTACGTAGCCCAAGCCAATCTCAAATTTGTAACCCTCCTGTCTCAGTCTCCCTAGTGCTGATATTACAGGTGTTTGCACTACATCTGGCTTTGTTAGAATTTCATACATGAGAGTATTCCTCTCTGGCTCCATACTATGAGTTAGGCCTCAATATAAGGAAGGCACTTTCCCTCTGTAGATGCTTCAGGTACGGCCCTAAAAGGGTACCTTTCCAGATATCCCTCACAGGATTTTGCAGATATAAGTCAAACAGCTATTTATTCTATCTTCCTGTGATGGCAGAGTCTATTGCTCAGCAGAAGCAACTCTAGGATTGAACACAACTAGTCCACCATTGACTGTTGTCATACTCTGTTAAAGCTGTCAGGGAAAATCAGTTTCCAAAGCATTTAAAGATCTAGTCTTGGCCAAGCTGTTGGATCTCACTGTGGAACCAAAACTTTCAACACTCTTTCAGAAACTTGTTTCAATTTCAGCTCCAGAAGCAGAGTGGGAAGTTCTGTCCCGCAGAAGCAGATGGCTGTTTCCAGTGATAGGCAGGAGTCGTGTGAACTGCTTCTACCATCCACATGCAAGCCTCTGGACTTCTCTAGGATGACTTGGCTGTGCTTGCCCTTGTCACAGCGAATAATAGGTATCTGGTTTTCAACAGCATGAATGAGCATGCGGGACATTGTGCTTAGTGATGTAACTGGTCACAGAAAGACATCCACTGAGTGATCTTGCTTGTGTGTGAAATCTAAAAACATCAAATTCGTAAAGGTGGACAGCTTAGAAATGGAAAATGTTGGTCAGTTAGACAGGACATATTATTAGACATTCTGGAGATCTGGTGCACAGTGTGGCTACAGTTAATAATTGTGTATTTATACTTAAATTTTTCTCAAAAGTAGATTTTAAATATACTCATTGTAAAAAAAACCATGAGAAGTTATGTGAGGCAATAGAGTAATTAGCTTAACTAGATCATTTCACAATGTCCTATAAGCACACCACAGAGATATTATGGGTTCAATTCCAGGCCAGCCCAGTAAAATGAATTTCACAACACAGTGAGTCACACACAGTTGTTCTCTTCTCCAATGCATATGAAAGTTGTGGTTGGGGCTGGCATGATGACACATGTCTTTAACCTCAGCACTCAGGAGATAGAGGCAGAAAGATAACAAGCTCCAAAACAGCCTAGACTACAAAGAGAATCCGAGTCCAGCTTGGTTACCTAGAAAAACTCTCATTCCAAAAACACGATATTTGTATATGTATTACACAACAGTATATTATGTATACAATCATATCTAAAAATATATGTACCTTGATTTTAAAATGTCTTACTTCTAAAATAAGATAACAATTATCTGGACCTTCAGCATATCATAATCTTTTCAGTGATCAAGGCTCTTCCTTCTGGGTTTGCTAAGAGATCAGAATGAGGGTTAACAGAGGCGAGAGTGGCACCAGCAATTTCTTAAGATAACAGGGAAGTTTGCCATACTGATTGACCTCTGTTCACAAAAAGCCATTTCTCTCTATCATGGGATGCTGTGATAGCATTTCACCCACGAGAGAATGTCTTTCAAAAGTGGAGTCAGTTCTTTCAAACGTGCTGTTGCTTTAGCAACTAAGTTTATGCAATGCTCTAAATGCTTTGCTATCCTCTCAACAATGTTCCAGAATCTCCAGGACAGGAATAGTTTCCATCTCAGGAAAGCACTGTCTTGCTTATTCATGAGAAGCAACTAAAGTGTTGAAGTTCTATCTGGCCACATCTTCAGGCTCCATCTCCAGTTGCTGTTTCGACCATAGCTACTTCCTCCACTGAGGTCTCAGGACCCCTCAAGTGAGGGGTTGAAACTGACTGACTTCTAAATTCCTATTATTGCTGACATTTTATCTCCTGCCAAAAATTCCCATGGGTCCCTAATGACATCTAGAAGGTGAGTTCTTTCTCATAGATGCTCAATTTACTTTGCTCACATTCACCAGAGAAATCATCTATGGCAACTATAGCCTCATGAATGTATTTCATTTGTTGTCAAATAAACTGTTTATTGTATGTGTACAAGTGCTTTCCCTACATATATCTATGTATCACATGCATGCCTGGTGTCAGTGAAGGCCAGAAGAAGGCATTGAATACTCTGGGATGAGAATTACAAATGTTTATGAGCCACCACGTGGGTCCTGGGAATAGAACTAGGGTCCCCTGCAAAAGTAGCCAGTGCTCTTCATCTCTGAGCCATCTCTCCAGCCCCTTACTGTATTTCTTAAATAATAATATTTTAAAGTCAAAAAGATTCCTTGATCTGTGTTCTTGGACAGGAAGACCAGTCACCCATGCTGTATGTCTCTATCAGAGCTCTTAGATGACCAGATGAACTCTCAATATGCAGTACAATTTTGAAAGGAATTTTTTATCCAGGTAGTAGGTCTCAACAGTGAGCCTAAGTCATTCAGTAAACCATGGTGGGAGCAAATGTGCTGTCATCCGAGCTCTGTGCTTCCATGTTAGAGCACAGACAGAGTATGCTTAATGGCCCTAGGGTTTTCAGAATGGCAAATGAGTATTGACTTCAACTTCTGTCATCAGTTGCATTGACCTCTGTCATGGTTTGGATAGGAAATATCCCTAATGGCTAGTGTGTTGAAGGCCAAGTCATGCATCAGTATTCATGACTGCTTCATGAGGATGCTAAATTCAGTGGGCTTATCCCTTTATATGTTCATAGTCGAATGGACGACTAGGAGGTGGCACCTGGTTAGAGGTAGGTCACTGGGGATGTGGATTTGAAGGATGTATCTTGTCTTGTCCTCTTTGCTTGTTCTGTATCCTTGCTAGTCTAATGCAGCCTCATTTGCCACAACATTCCACACCGCGATACTCCTGGTAAAACCATTCCATGATCAGCCTTTCCTGCTGTACATTGATTCCTGTTTTAACACAGTGGCAATGACCTAATATGATCCCAACAGAAAGCCTGCCATTGAAGCTTCAAAACCAGGCATTGCTTTTCTTCTCCAACTAGGAAAGTCCTGGAGGGCATCCTCTTCCAGCAGAAGGCTGTGTCAGCCACATTCGGATTCTGGTGTGCAGAATAGTCACCAGGGTGACAGTAGTTTTAATAACAATTTGCCTCAAATTAGAATCCCCATGAGGAGGGAGCTTCAACTGAGAAATTGTTCTGGTGGCCTTAAATGATGTGGAAGGAGCCTTTCCAAAAGTGGGTGGCAACTTCTATTATCTGGCTAGATAAAAAGTGTGTGTGTGTGTGTGTGTGTGTGTGTGTGTGTGTGTGTGTGTGTATCAGAAGGAAGCTTATTTGCATTTTTTGACTTAGCCCTCCCTCTTACCTCCAAGCTGATCTACCCTGTTCCTCTGCTTATGTCAAATCCAGCATTTCCAGGCTTCCATTGTTGATTAAACACCAGCAGCCTCCAAGAATCTTCCAGACTTGTGGTATCAAATTGAGGCTGCTGTGGCAGCAGCCTCACAGACAGATCAACTACCTACCGGATTCATGGCCTCTCCAATGTCAGGCAGCCATCATAGGACTTCTCTGACTGCTGGACGCAAGCAGCTACAGGGTTCTAAGATTCTCACATGTGAGGCAGCTGTTGTTATTTCAATGTAAGTTGATCTAATACACACACACACACACACAATTTATGTGTTTTCTATCAGTTCTGTGTCTTTAGAGTAGTGGTTCTCAACCCGTGGGTTGCAACTCCTTCAAGGGTTGAACAACCTTTCACAGGGGTCACCTATATACAGATGATAAAAGGGCTGAAAGAGAAATCAGAGAAACATCACCCTTTACAATTGCCACAAACAACATAAAATACCTTGGGGTAATGCTAACCAAACAAGTGAAAGACCTGTATCGTAAGAACTTTGAATCTTTAAAGAAAGAAATTAAAGAAGCCCTCAGAAAATGGAAAGATCTCCCATGCTCTTGGATAGGTAGGATCAATGTAGTAAAAATGGCAATCCTGCCAAAAGCAATCTGCAGATTCAATGCTATCCCCATTAAAATCCCAGCACAATTCTTCACAGACCTTGAAAGAACAATAATCAATTTTGTATGGAAAAACAAAAGACCTAAAACCACTAGAAAACACTAGTATTTACATTGTGATTCATAATGGTCGCACAATTACAGTTATGAAGTAGCAATGAAAATAATGTTATGGTTGGAGAGTAATCACAACGTGAGGAACTGTATTGAAGGGCCATAGCATTAGGAAGGTTGAGAACCACTGTTTAGAGAGCCCAGCTTCTTCCCTTCCTAGCTCTCCTGGGTACTTGCAGCAGCCTCTCCATTGGCACTGAACACACCACCTTACACGTCATATTATGGAGCAGCTTCTTCCATAGAGCCTCATGAACCAGATTCAAACATTTCTTCTGCTGCTTCCTCACCTCTCTCAGCATTCACGGAATTGAAAGAGTCACCTCCTTGCTCTGCATCACACTTTGACTTGGGAGTTTTGTGGCTAGTTGCACCTTTTATTCAAACCACAGTTCAAATTCTAATAATGCCCGTGTTTCTAAAGCAACTTTAAACTTCCTTCAAGCACTTCCCCTCTGCATTCACAGTTGCACTGATTGGCTCAAGAGTCTTTCATTCTTTCTCAGATTTTGACATCATTTCTTTATTAAGCTTAATCACAGTGAGAATTATCAAATTAGCATTGACTTACAATAAGAAGAAAAGACATGAGACCTGTCATTTTACCAGAACCTGTAGAGGATTGTTGAGTCCCCAACTGTCCTGGTCTCAATTTTGTGTCACAGGAAACAGTGGTCTAAGGAGAGGGAAAGATAGGAAATGGCTGGTCACTGGGGCCATCAGAATATAAAATATTTCTCAGTGTTCCATCTTGTTTGGGTGTTGTCCATGGCTTTCCTGACAATGCCAATTGTAAAATTGCTGACCACAAAAGAATAATACAAAATTTCATGAGAAGTACCAAAATACCACACAGAGACATGAAATGAGCCCATGATGTTGGGATAGTGAAGACGAGCATTATACAGGTCCAAAGGACTAAATGCTGGGGTAGACCCAGTGTGGAGAGTCCTCAGCATCCAATTTATTTTTAAAAAATACTGAATTTCAATAAAGCAATGTACAATAAACTGGTGAATGTCTGCCCCATAAATACATACAATATTCATTCATTTAAAATAAATAAATTGGGGATCCAGAATGGTGGATCAAGTAAAGGCATATGCTGAGCAAGCCTCAAAACCTAAACTTGGTACCCTGAGTTCAATCCCCAGGACCCACATAAAGATAAAGGAAGGAATTAGCTCTACAGAGTTGTCCTCTGACCTCCACACTGCTCTGGAACATCATGCACACATGCAATAATAAATAAATAATATTTAAAATAAGCACCTGTAATCCCAGCACTTGGAGGACTAAGACAAACGTTCAAGGTCCCCTTGTCTACCTTGTAAGTTTCACACCTACCTGGATTACATAATAAGACCAGGTCTTCAAGTACAAATAAATAAAATGTTTAATTAGGCAAGAAAATAGATCCAGATGCATCCAGATGTCCTGACCTGAATACAAAGGTCAGTATTGTCACAGGACATGATGAGGGAGTACTTAAAAACAGTCCCTCTGAAGTCCTGGAGTAGATACACCTATATTTTGAGACATACTTTGGCCATGCCCCAGATTACTGGTCTGTCCCTGATTAGCATTCATCTGAAAGTGGATCCCAGGGATTGATAATCCATAAAAGGTGACTCTCAGCACCAATGCTCTTTTCAGAACACAGCCTTTGTTGCCAAACCAACCGAGACCTGAGTACCAGCCCTTATCAGCCAAAAATATGGGAGTCTAGATTGAATACTCTGATTAGGAGTACCAGGATCTGGTATGCTCTGACATCAAGAAACTTCCTGAGTGCCAATGTAGTGCTGCAAATGGAAAATTCCATGCCTAACCTCATGTGACAGGTTGCAGTCAAAACACAGGTGCACTAAAATTGTGTAAAATTACCTCCAGGCTATGGATATAGGTGTAAATACAGTGTGTGTTTATACATGAGTGCCATCTTGAAGGCAGTACATCCAGTAGTAATAAATATTT